ACCGATTGATTCTGCCTCCACTGCACTCTGTAACAGTGAATTCCACAGATTCACATCCCTCTGAGAGAAGTAGTTTCTCCTTGTCTCAGTTTTGAACCTACTTCCTCTCACTCTCTGTCCATGCCCTCTTGTTTGAGACTGTCCCACAAGGGGGAGCATCTGCTCAATGTTCATCTTGTCAATCCCCTTTAGATCTTATATACCTCAATCAGATACTCCCTCATTTTTCTGAACTCCAGCAAATACAAGCCCAAGTTGTTCAACCGCTCTTCATACAACAGCCCTTTCATCCTTGGAATCAACCTGGTGAAAATCCTCTGAGCTGCTCCAGTGCCATCACATCTTTCCTCAAGTAAGAAGACAAGAAGTGGACATAATATTTCCAGAAATGGCCTCAACAATGCCTTATATAATTGTAACAGCACTTCCTTACTTTTATATTCCAGTTCTTTTGCGATAAATGCCACGATTCCATTTGCCTTTTATACACTGCACTTCTGTACCCACTTTATGTGATTCCTGCACAAAGACACCCAGATCCCTCTGCACTGACGCACTTTGAACCTGCTTCCATTTAAATAATAATTTGTCCTTTTATTTTCTGGCCAAAATGGACAACCTCACATGTATCCACATTAAATTCCATCTGCCAGATTCTGGCCCATTCTCCTAGCCTATCAATATTCATCTGTAACTTCTTTATCTCCTCATTACTGCCTGCTTTCCCACCTATTTTAGTATTATCCACGACTTTGTTATGTTACACCTGTCCCTGCTTGCAAATCATTTATATAGATTGTAAATAGTCCAGGTCTGAGTACTGATCCCTGCGACACCCAACTAGATACAATTTGTTGTTTGGAAAAATACCCATTTATCTTGATCCTCTGCTTTCTGTCAGTCAGCTAATCCTTTATCCAAGCCAATATTCTACCTTTAATCTCCTGGGATCTAACCTTCTGGTCTCCTCCTTTTGTGTTCAGTTCTCCTCCTTTATGATGGACTCCAGCAACATCCCCCACTACAGATGTCAAACTCACTTGTATACAGTTTCCCACTTTTTGCTTATCTCCTTTTTTGAATAAGACTGTCACATTAGCATGTTTTCAATCCACTGATACCTTTCCAGAATCCAAGGAATTTCAGAAAGGGTCCTGACTCGAAACATCAACTTTCCTGCTCCTTTGATGCTGCCTGATCTGCTGTGTTTCTCCAGCTCCTAACTGTGTTAGACTCTGACTCCAGCATCTGCAGTTCTTGCTATCTCCTAATGTATCCATCATCTCTGCTGCCACCTCCTTTAATACGCTAGGGTGCAGGCCATCTGGCCCTGGGGACATATCTGCCTTTAATCCCATCAGTTTACTTAATATCTTCTCCTGATTTCTTGAAGTTTATTGAGAACAATAACTCTCTACATGGTTATAAGATTCTGGATTTAGACATGGTATGGTACCCGCATGGGCCCAAGCTACGCCTGCCTCGTTGTAGGTTACGTGGAACAATCCCTCTTCCATACCTACACTGGCCCTAAACCCCACCTCTTCCTCCGTTACATTGATGACTGTATCGGGCCGCCTCGTGCTCCCACGAGGAGCTCGAACAGTTCATACACTTCACTAACACCTTCCACCCCAACCTTAAGTTTACCTGGACCATCTCTAACACCTCTCTCCCCTTCCTGGACCTCTCTGTCTCCATATCGGGCAACCACCTAGAAACCAATATTCATTTCAAGCCCACCGACTCCCACAGCTACCTCGAATACTCCTCCTCCCACCCACCTTCCTGCAAAAATGCTATCCCCTATTCCCAATTCCTTCGCCTCCACCGCATCTGCTCCCAGGATGAGGCATTCCACTCCCGTACATCTCAGTTGTCCTTGTTTTTCAAGGACCGTAACTTCCCCTCCTCGGTGGTCGAGAACGCCCTCAACCGTGTCTCCCACATCTCCCGCACCTCATCCCTCACACCCCGTCCACGCAATAAGAACCAAAAAAGAATCCCCCTCGTCCTCACGTACCACCCCACCAACCTCCGGATCCAACGCATCATCCTCCGACACTTCCGCCATCTGCAATCCGACCCCACCACCAAAGACATCTTTCCCTCCCCACCCTTATCTGCTTTCCGGAGGGACAACTCTCTCGGTGACTCCCTTGTCCGCTCCACACTCCCCTCCAGCTCCACCACACCCGGCACTTTTCCTTGCAAACGCAGGAAGTGCTACACCTGCCCCCATACCTCCTCCCTCACCCCCATCCCAGGCCCCAAGAAGACTTTCCACATCAAGCAGATGTTCACCTGCACATCTGCCAATGTGGTATACTGCATCCGCTGTACCCGGTGTGGCTTCCTCTACATCGGGGAAACCAAGCGGAGACTCGGGGACCGCTTTGCAGAACACCTACGCTTGGTTCGCAATAAACAACTGCACCTCCCAGTCGCGAACCATTTCAACTCCCCCTCCCATTCCTCAGACGACATGTCCATCCTTGGCCTCCTGCAGTGCCACAACGATGCCACCCGAAGGTTGCAGGAACAGCAACTCATATTCCGCTTGGGAACCCTGCAGCCCAATGGTATCAATGTGGATTTCACAAGTTTCAAAATCTCCCCTCCCCCTACCGCATCCCAAAACCAGTCCAGCTCGTCCCTGCCTCCCTAACCTGTTCTTCCTCCCACCTATCCCCTCCTCCCACCTCAAGCCGCACCTCCATCTCCTACCGACCAACCTCATCCCGCCCCCTTGACCTGTCCGTCCTCCCTGGACTGACCTATCCCCTTCCTAACTCCCTACCTACACTCACCTTTACTGGCTCCATCCCTGCCTCTTCGACCTGTTTGTTTCCTCTCCACCTATCCTCTCCTCTATCCCTCTTCTATCCGCCTCCCATTCTCTCCCTATTTATTTCAAAACTCCCTTCCCCTCCCCCTTTTCCGATGAAGGGTCTAGGCCCGAAACGTCAGCCTCTCTGCTCCTATGATGCTGCTTGGCCTGCTGTGTTCATCCAGCCCTGCACCTTGTTGTCTATGAGTCTATGCTTCCTGTTATTAATGTTATATTTCATGACTGTAAAAGTACACATGGATGACTGACTAGATTATGACATTTTGTAAAGGTGAGGCAACTGGAACATCACATGTTGTGATGGCACCTAACTGTCTTAAAGATACGCTGCCTGTCTGATTTTTTTTTTATTTGGTCATAGGATGTGGGTGTCACTGGCTAGGCCAGCATTCCTTACCCATTCCTAACTACCCAGAGGGTAGTTAAGAGTCAACCTCTTGGTCTGGTTTCACATCTGGGCCAGACCAAGTGAAAAACTATCCTTTTTTAATGGACACTCGTGAAGCAAACATGCTTTTAATTCAATCTAATGGCAGTTGTTACATGGTCACCATTAGGCTAACTTTTAATTCCAGATTTTATTGAATTAAAATGTCACCATCTGACACGGTGGGATTTAAATTCACATTCCTAGAATATTAGCCTCAGGTTCTGGATTACTAGTCTGCTGATATTACTGCTGCAAAGTGCCTCCCCTGCAATAATACAACATATCCTTCTAGACAGTTTCTAAGCTGTGGAAGTTGATGGAAAGTCAGCTACATTGTGCCAGTGATGGAGGGACCGGATGTTTATGGAAGTGTATGGGTTGTCAGTAAGACTATATTATCCCATTACTGCCAGGTTTGTTGAGTGCAGTCACACCTGCACCTAACCAGGCAAATGGAGAGTTTCCTACTCTTCCTGAGCCACTTTCTTCAGAATATTCAACCTCTGAACTGCTCTAGTAGTTAGTTTTTATGTGGCTGGTTGTGTTTCTTTTCAACAACCAATTTCAGGATAACAAGGTGTAGAGCTGGCTGAACACAGCAGACCAGGCAGCATCAGAGGAGCAGGAAAGCTGACGTTTCAGGTCTGGACCCTTCTTCAGAATTTCAGGATAGTGTGTCATTGATGGTATTGAATATAGACATTAGACTTTCACATATTGGAATGGTCACTTCCTGCCACAATGTGGGTGGCACGGTGGTTAGTATGGCTGCTTTACAGGGCCAGGGACCCAGGTTCAATTCTAGCCTCGGGCGACTGCCTGTGTGGAGTTTGCATGTTCCCTCTGTGTCTGTGTGGGTTTCCTCTAGGTACTCTGTGTTTCCTCACACAGTCCAAAGATGTGCAGATTATGTGGATTGGCCATGCGAAAGTGCCCATAGTGTCTAGGGATGTGTAGGTCAGGTGGATTAGCCATGGGAAATGCAGGGATACAGTTGGTGGGTGAGTCTGGGTGGGATGCTATTTGGAGAGTCAGTGTGGACTTGTTGGGCTGAATGGCCTGTTTCCACACTGTAGGGATTCTATGAATGTTACTTGTGACTTATTAGTGTCCAAAACCAAAAAGTATTGCCCAGACTGCAATCTGTATTTGGGGAGTTATGCCACTGGGCACAGCCTGGATATTTCTAATTATGAAGAAGAGTCAAAACAGACTTGAAACATTAACACTGTTTCATTCTCCATAGACGCCGCAGGACCTGCTGAGCTCCACGATTTTCTGTGTTTGTTGCAAATTTCCAGAATCTGCAGTATTTTGCTTTCGAGCGCTATATGAATGCCTATTTCTTGAACGGGATTCTAAAATCAAATGTGTGTGTGTGTCTGTTTGGTTCATTGTAAAAGTTTACTCTGAAAGTCTCCTGCTACCACCTCAGGTCTCTATGGAAATGCAGGTTGTTGTTGTGGTCGTAGCGAGAAGCGGAGGTGCCTCCGCAGCGCCACCCCGCGGTAGGGCTGTGGGTGTGGGCCGCCTCGGCCGCCGTAGCGCGATTCCCGCAATGACACGTCCTTCCTTAGCAACACGACATAAACGATTCCATGGCAACGGGGTAACCAGCCGCCAGCAAACAGATCAGAGAGAGAGAGAGTGAGACGGCTCGCCGGCCTCTTCACCCCGAGCACCGGGGCCTCGGCTCAGTGGCCTGACCAACGGCATCAGGATGAGCATCAAAAGGAGCATTCCTGTGGTGAAGCACATCATCAGGGACAGCGATCTGGTAACCAGACAGGTAAAAACAAACCTGCAGAAAACAACAACATTCATGTACCTGTCTCTACATCACCCATCCCGCTAACATCCACTACCAGCCACAAACACACATATCTACATACATATGTACACACTGACCTATATATGCACACATACATATGGACGTGCACACATATTACTCATATGTGCATACAGACATATATACACACTTGCATATGCACATATATACGCACGCATAATCACATACATGTACACACGTACATATTGGAATGGATCTGGTAGAAGTGACTAAACTGTAGATGACCCGCAGGCTGCCCCTGTCTTGTGCAGTCCAGCCATCCTCATCTATCCAACCCTTCCCCCACTAGTGAGTGTGCCAGATTCCCAGGAAACAGTTTAAGTCGCCAAACTGCACAGTATCTTCAGCACCCCTGCAGACAGAGCTCTGTCTGGAGATGGATCTGCCCACTCAAAGTTTGTTTTCCTGTTTGAATGTTCTCCATCAGTGTTCTTCTCTGACCTCCTGCTGGACGACTGTCACCTACAGGACGAGGAGCAGGCCAGCAAGGAAGCTGAACACGAAACTGTTGACCCCAGAAAACATTGAGGAGCTCAAAAGTGATTACACGAGTCGGAGAACAGTGAAGTCCGTCATTGTGACTCCAGCAGACTGGTGGGAAACAGTCAAGGGGAACATCAAAAGGTTCTTTATCCTCAAAGGTGTTCAGAAGGTGACAGAAAGACGAGGGGAAATTGTCCAACTCCAGAAAGGCTTGCAGAACCTGCTCCTACTGCAGACGATGGAAGTCAATGTCAGAAAGCATCTCCAGGAGGTGGAGAACTAGCTAGCCTCAATCTTTGCCTTAGAGTCGTCCAAGATAATCTTCCCATCCAGGAGCAGGATGAGACATGCTCATGTTTCTTCTTCCAGAAGGTGCATAAGGAGAGGTCTGTGCTCAGCAGCCTGAATGAAGAAGATGGCTCAGTAACGTCATCTCAGTCTGAGAGGATCATCAAATCCTTTTATGCCAGACTGAATGACATAAAGCCCACAGACAGCATAATCCCAGTCATTCCTTTCCCCTATCACGGATGTCTTAGACGACAGCACGTGGGAGAGGCAGGACCAGCTGTTATCTCTGGAGGAGCTGACCAAGGCCCTCGAATTCTTAGAAAAGAATAAAACTCCCAGAAGTGACGGCTTATTGGCTGAGTTGTGTTCAGCTCTGTGCGACTTTATTTGCCAGGACCAACTGGATGTGTATGACAGTATGCTTCTGTAGGTAGCATGTATAAATCCATGAGGAAAGGTATCATCACCCTCATATACAAGTGGAAGAGGGAGAGTGAAGAAATTAGAAATTGGAGACAAATTTCACTGCTGAATGCAGATTACAAAATCCTGTCTAAGGTCATTGCCAAACGGGTCAGGTCTGCTCTGGGATCGAAGTTTCACCCCGACCAAACCTGTGCGGTACCGGGCAGAATGATCTCTGAGAGCCACACGCTCCTCAGGGATACAATCACCTATGTGCAGGACAGGCGGGTAGATGTCTCCCTCATCAGCTTGGACCAGGAGAAGGCCTTTGACAAGATATCACACACCTACATGTGGGATGTGCTGTCCAAAATGAGTTTTGGAGAGGGAATGCGCAATTGGATCCGACTGCTGTACAACAACATCAGTAATGCAGGGGAGGCAATAGCCTAGTGGTGTTATCACTGGACTGTTAATCCAGAGACCCAGGTAATTTCCTGTGGATCTGGATTTGAATCCCACCGCGGCAGATGGTGGAATTTCAATTCAATTCAATTAAAATCTGGAATTAAGAGTCTATTGATGACCATTGCTGATTATCAGAAACACTCATCTGGTTCACTAATGTCCTTTAGGGAAGGAAACTGCCATCCTTACCTGGTCTGGCCTACATGTGACTCCAGATCCACAACAATGTGGTTGACTCTTAACTGCCCTCTGGGCAATTAAGGGATGGGTGATAAATGCTAGCCTAGCCAGTGATACCCTCATCCCGTGAATGAATAAAGAAAAAAAAATCAATGGGTGTGAATCAGAAAGCTTCCCAATCAGATCTGGAGTCAGGCAGGGCTGTCCAGTCTCCCCTGCCTTGTTTGTGTGTTGTATAGAGCCTTTTGCTGAATCCATCAGGAAGGATGTGAGCCTGAGAGCTGTGACTATTCCAGGCAGCGGAAGCTTGCAGATCAAAGCATCCTTGGTGTATGGGTGACGTTGCTGTTTTCTGCTCCGATCTGCTGTCAGCGCGCAGACTCATGAGTATCTGCGACTAGTTCGAACTGATCCTGTGAGCCAAGGTAAATCAAGACAAGAACAAAGCCATGTTCTTTGGGAACTTGGCCAACTGATCCCTCATCCCCTTCACCGTCGAGACAGAAAGAGCTGGGAATATAGTTTGGAGGGGCCAGTGTGTGTGCAAATACGTGGGAGGAGCATATCACCAAGGTGAGGCATAAACTGAGCTTTTAGGAGCACCAGTTCCTCTCCATTGCAGGTAAAAACCTGGTCATCAGGTGTGAGATAACCTCTTGTATGTGGCACAGGCCTGGCCCATTCCCCAAACCAGTGCCGTTACAGTCACCCAAGCCATCTTTCACTTCAACTGGAGGTCAAAGATGCACCGAGTCTGCAGAGACACAATGTACAAAGCTCTGGATAAGCAGAGGAAGAAAGCACCAAACGCTGCCCTCATCCTGGTAGCCACATGTGTATAGGGCTGCGTCAGGCTGTTTGTAGACCCTCAGTATGCAAACATCAAGTGTCACTATGTACTGATGTTCCACCTGTCCCCAGTGTTGTGAAAGATGGGATTAGACTCGTTGCCGAAGATGGACCGTCCTTTGTGGAGAAATTCGCAAAGAGAAACACCTTTGACCATAAGTCTATCAGGAGGTGGTCAGCACACAGCATCTTGAGAACCTGAGGGGAAAGGAGACAGTGGATCCTGTCGGCTTGTTCCCTGAGCAGACTGTCAAGGTCATTTGGCAGAATGCCTCATCACCAGAAATTTCCAATAAGCACCAAGGCATCGCTTGGCTGGTGGTGAGAAGGGGACTTCTGTGAGATCTTTCATATACGCCTAGACTCTGTGCACCACCACACACTGCCCTCGAAGCAGCTATGGAGAGATAGAGACTGTCACACATCTCCTTCTAGAATGTGCCTTTGCAAAGGAAGTCTGGAGAGAGATGCAGCATATTTTGTTGAGGTTTGTCCCAAGCAGCTCCATGATGTAGGACTCTGCGCTCTATGGTCTGTTTCCTGGGATACACACCAAAACAAACATTGACTACTCCTGGACGACCATCAACTTGGTGAAAGATGTTCCTTGGTCTGCCTAAAACCTGTTGGTCTTCCAGAGCAAGGAGTTGACCTCAACCAAGTTTTGCAGACTGGCACATTCCAAGGTCCCAGTTTATGTGCTAAGGGACACACTAAAACCTGGGGCAGCAGCAGCCAAGGCACAGTGGGAAAGACCACCATCTAAAGTCTTTCAGCCAAAGTACAATGGGGGTCCGTTCAGTTACTGGACCCTCCTGGTGCCTCATATACATGTAAATATAGTTTTATCTCGGGTTAGTTTGCTCTTCATATATAAAGACTGTGTATAGAATCAAACTGCTCTCGTGATTATGTATGTATATAAAGATTTTTATGATTAAAGTATTTTTTGAAATAAAAAAGTATTGGGGGGGCATCATATTGCTGCTTTGCAGCTAACAGAGGGAATTCTGCCAGTAAGGAAGGCCCTGATGCACCCACACCCACATTGGGTAAACCCTGGCTGAAACGATTGACTGGACAGAAAGCAGCCATGCTCACCCATCAGCTGTCAGCTATTCTGGAAATTCCAGTGGGTGGAACAAAGAACAGAACAGCACAGGAACTGGTCCTTTGGCCCACTAAGATGACACATCTAAACTAAAAACCTCTTGCCTCTTCGCAGTCCATATCCCTCTACTCCCTGCTTATTCATATATCTGTCAAGATGTCTCTTACACGCTGCTGTTGTATCCGTTCCACCACCTCCTCTGGCAGCACATTTCAGGCACTTACCGCCCTCTGTGTAAAACACCTGCCTGTCACATATTTAAACTTACCCCCTTTTACCCCAAACCTATGTCCCCTAGTAATTGACATTTCTACCCTGTGAAGAAGACTATCCATTCTATCTATGCCTCATAATTTCTTGTATATTTCTATCAGGTCACTGTCGTCCTTTGATGTTCAAGTGAAAACAAACCAAGTTTGTCTAATCTTCTCATAGCTAATACCCTCTGTTTCTGTACCCTGTCCAAAGCCTGCACATCCTATCAATAGTGTGGTGACTGGAACAGTACACCATAAAATGTGGCCCAAATGTATGTAAATATGGACATGATGTGCAGCCACGAGCATGAAAAACACCCTGCATTCTAATAGCTTGTCAGCAACTAGTAGTTTGAAGATGCCAGTGCTTATGCCCATCATTCATATTTTAGCATCAGACTTTGCAGCTGTGTTCTGGCCATCTTTATAGTTGATGCATGGATGTTAGAGCTGTATGAATTGGCCTGAATTTTTCTGTTATCCTTTCACTCATTTTTCTCCTTGAAATAGCACGCTGAATATTTTAAAATTAAAGGATTGTGAAAGATTTTGAAAAGCTATTAAAATGCATGATGTATTTCTTGCTGGTCATTGCACATCATGTCCACTTTGACATAAATTTGGGCCGGATTTTAACTCTTGAGTGAAGGAGTTTTGTGTGAATGAAAATCTCACTGAAAAAGCCAGTGATTTTTTTCTGGAGCAGACAATTGATTTGATCGGTGTCAATGGCCTTTCAAGTAGTTCTTGGGAATACCTATGAAAACAAAAGAGTAACAGATGTTTAGATGCTTCCTGCAGAACACTGCCTCAAACTAGAACTTAGCTAATGCCGAGATGATGGAATGCATTCATTTGAGTCAGAAGTAACAGGGAAGGATGGTACCACCTGGAGGTTTGGAGAGTCTTGCAGTTATATCTTGCTCTGGAAATACATTGAGCATATAAGAGGAGCTAATGATCTAAAATTGGATGTAAGGGTATGAGGTGAAGGTAGCTTGGAGTTTGGGGTTTGTCCAGTTCAGTTTGTTCCTTCTGTTATGTGTCACCTTGTTGTGGTATTAAGCAGGAAAGTGCAGAATATTGACAATCAAAAAATATATTTAAGTCAAGATGATATATTCTGGAGATGATTGAGTTGCCATGATTGTTCTTTTCTGGTACTTTGTTATGAGGTGAGAGATACTATTGAAGTATACTTGTTGAATTGCTACAGGACATCAATATATGTATAAAAGTTGGTAAGCTTTGGTAAAACTATGCAAGGTACTATGCGAACCACAGCTGGAATACTGCAAACATTTTTAGAGCCCTTATCTAAGGAAAGATATACTGGCATTGGACACAGTTCAGAAAAGGTTTACTAGGTATACCAGGTATAGAGAGACTGTCTTATAAGGAGAGGTTGAGTAGGTTTGGTTGATACTCATTGGAATGTAGCAGAAGCAGAGGCAACCTTATTGAAACATATAAGATTCTTAGGGGACTTGACAGGTTAGATGCAGAAAGCTTGTTTCCCCTTGAGGGAGACTCCAGGACCAGAGAGCATAATTACAGAATAAGGGGTCACATATTTAAGACACAGGTGAAGTGTAATTTCTCTCTCAGAGGGTAGTGAATGTGTAGAATTCTTTACTGCACAGAGTTATCAAGGCTGGGTTGTTAAGTATATTCAAGGCTGAGATAGATTTTTAATTAGGAAGGGAATCAAGGATTATGGGAAAAAAAGCAGGAAAGTGGAGTTGAGGATTATCAGATCAGCCAGTATCTTATTAAATGACACAGCAGACTTGATGTGCTGAATGGCCTATTAGAATCATAGAAACCCTACAGTGTGGAAAGAGGCCATTCAACCCACCGAAAATCATTCCACCCAGATCCAGACCCCCACTCTATCCCTGTAACCTCACATTTACCATGGCTAATCCACCTAGCCTGCCCATCCCTGGACAGTACAGGGCATTTTAGAATGGCCAGTCCATCTAACCTGCACATCTTTGGCCTGCTTCTGCTCTTATGTCTTAAGGTCTAATCCAATTGCAATATCAGTATTCTGCAACCTCAGTAATCTCTGTGGTCCAATGGTAAGTATGCTGATATAGCATATTTCTAGATGTTGTTACACTTCCTAAATGCTAATGCATCCATGTAAACAAGTGTCAAACTTTCTATTGCACTGCTTATGTGAACCTGCTTGATGTGGAAAGGCTTTAATAGGGCAGGAAGTCACAGAGATCTTAAACTCTGCCCTGCCTTTATAAGTATGGAGTTAATATGAAGGTACAGTTAATCATTAGTGGTAGTGGTAGTGGTAACCCTCTGGATGTTGAAGTTAGGAATCTTGGTGAAGGACATTTGTTGAAGGTCAAGCCTGGCATTGCATGGTGTGAATGTAATTTGCAAATTGTCATCTGAAGTCTAGTTGCCATCTACTTGTCCTACTGTAAGCTGGCATATGTTACTTAATTATTAAAGGTATTATGAATGTAATTGGATAATTTGGAATTGCCAGTAAACAGCAAAGTCCATTATTTTGAGAAGGCTGTTGGTGGATTAAATTAAAGATGGTTGGACTAAGGATGTTTCGCTAAGGAGCTCCATCAATAATGTAATTTATAATGATTGGTTTGCACCAGCCACAACCATCTTCCTTTGTGTTTGGTTTGACTCTGGCCACAGGAAGATTTCCCTTTAAACTACATTGACTTTGCTTTGGTCAAGCACTTTAATGTGTCAGTTGGCATCTGCTGGGCAGCCACACCCATTAAGGTTCAGCAAGTCTGGCAGCATCTGTGGAGGAGAAAACAGAGCTAACGTTTTGGGTCCAGGGTTCTGAGGAAGGGTCACCGGACCCAAAACATTAACTCTGTTTTCTCCTCCACAGATGCTGCCAGACTTGCTGAGCTTTTCCAGCAACTTTGATTTTGTTCCTGATTTACAGCATCCGCAGTTCTTTTGGTTTTTACACCCATTAAGGTTCCTGTCACTGTCAATATTCTGTGGCAGTGTGGAAACATTGGACTCTCCTCCAGATGCCTTCCAATGCCAAGTTATTTCCCAGTCCCTGCCAGCATGTCTCCAGGACAGAGATAGTTTTGTCCTTTGTGTTCATGCCTGGACGACGACTATGAGCTTTATAAGTGAAATCACTGTACATAAGTCTGCAACAAATAATAAGCTGTGACAAACAATAAAGTAATAAAGAATAAAGCCTTTGACAAGTTTCCGCACGTACACTAATTAGTAAAGTTCAGGATTCAGGATGAGCATGCCAATTGGATACAAAATTTGACTTAACGGCAGGAGACAGAGAGTGATGGTGGAAGGCTGCTTTTCGAACTGGAGGTCTGTGACCATCGGTGTTCCACAGGGATCAGTGCTGGGTCCACTTTTGTTTGTCATTTATATAAATGATTTAGATGAGAATATAGAAACCATGCTTAGCAAAATTGCAGATGACACCAGTATCGAAGGTACAGTGAACAGTGAAGAGGGTTATCTAAGATTACAAAGAGATCTTGATCAATTGGGTCAATGGGCTGAAGAGTGGCAGATGGAGTTTAATTTGGATAAATGCAAAGTATTGCATTTTGGTAAAACAAACAAAGAGCAGGACTTAATACAATTAAAAGTGGGGTCTTACGTAGTGTTGTAGAACAAAGAGACTGAGGGGTTCAGGTACATAATTCTTTGAAATTTGCATCACATATAGATAGGGTAGTTAAGAAGGTGTTTAGCACGCTTGCCTTCATTGTTCAAACCTTTGTGTGTAGGAGTGGGGGTGTTATGTTGAGGTTGTACAGGACATTGATAAGGCCTCTTCTGGAGTACTATGTCCAGTTCTGATCTCCCTGTTATAGGGATAATGTTATAAGCTGGAGAGGATTCAGAAGACATTTACCAAGATGTTGCCAGAAATGGAGAGTTTGAGTTATGGGAAGAGGCTGGATAGGCTGGGGTGTTTTCATTGGAGTGTAAGAGGTTGAGGGGTAACCTTCTAGAGGTTTATAAACTCATGAGAGATATAGATAAGGTAAATGGCAGAGGTCTTTTCCCTATTGTGGGGAATTTCAAGACTGGGGGCATATCTTTAAGGTGAGAGGAGAAAGATTTAATAAAAGACATGAGTGGCAATTTTTTTTACACAGAGTCGTTTGTGCGTAGAACGAACTTCCAGAGGAAGTGTTGGATACTGGTAAAGTTACAATATTTTATGACAGTTAGATAAGTACATGAATAAGAAATGTTTGGAAGGATATGGGCCAAATGCTGGCAGGTGGAACTAGTTTAGTTTGGGATTATGTCAGCATGGACTGATTGGACTGAAGGGTCTGTTTCTGTGCTGTGTGACTCTATGACTCTATAATTTGTTTCTGCATTTTCTTTGAGACTTGCTCCCATGTGGGAATATGAAATTTAGTTTAACGTCATAGGACTACAGTATTATTTCAATTATATTGAGCAATCACTATTTCGGGGAATAAAGATTGTACTCTGATATTGCAATTTAGACAACAATGGACAAATATTCACTTTATTTTTATTTTCAGTTTATGATGCTATTTGTATCTCTTCGTTGAACTAATGCTTATTATGTGCATGTTATCATCCATCATTTAATGCTATTAATCCTGCCAGGAAGCATTTTTGGAAGATAATATAAATCACAAAATAACTCTAGTTGATTTTCTTTTATTCTCTTATTTCCAAGGATATAAGGCCTGTGGATTTGAATTGGGTCGTTAATCTAATAGAAGATCGATTCTCAGTAAGTAGCTTCCAGTAAGTCCCAAACTATTTGTATCGTGTGTTATTTGGTTTGCATGCAGCACTCTAAAATATTATTAAGGTTTCTGTTTACTCATCACTACTACTTAGTTTCTACAAAGAACTTGGATTGAATCGCCATTTTAAATGGTGTTTTTTTTTAGCTTTAATGTCTGATAAATTTGAATTCGATGATGTTCCATAGCACTGAACCTACTTGTGTTTAGAGTATAATTACTGCTTCTATTTTTCTCCACTAAAATATGTCACTGACTGAGATTGAACTATTTCCGCCAAATTTTAGCCCATCCCCCGATCTTTTGTGGGACGTCACAACTTATTTCCTTTAAGTTCAATCCTGTTTTGTCCCTTGTAACCCATTTTTTAAAAATACGATTAACTTTCCTCTCCCCAGCTCCATGCTTCTTAATTTTCAAAATAATCTCTCATGTCATATATTGTCAAAGGCTTTAATAAAATCTCTGTCATGTCATGTCATATGTGAATTACCTTCTCAAATAATTTTGAAATATTGGTCAAATATAATTATTATTTTTGAAATTTGTGCTGGTTATTTCTATTTTCTTCTTATCTAGACACATGCTAGTTTCATCCTTAATTAAAGACTAGTATTTTCCTTATGAAAGATTTAATTATCTGTAATTAACCAGATTATCTAGTTCAGATTTTAATAATCTGTATGACTTTCCAGTTGGCCATTTTCCAGTAATTTTACCTTCTAAAATTTAGAAGTTGTGACCTTCATTTTTTAAAAATTAGTTTGCAGCCATTCCATCTTTTTTCCATGAAACTGTGCACACATTAGTTTCCCAAATCAAGGCTTTCATGATACTTGGCAAACTGCTACATAGCTGGACACCCAACAATTTAACAGGAACATTACTCCCCAGTCCTTGGACGCAGACTGTTGCAAATCACTACTTCACATTTCATATGAATGTCATTTTTAGTTTTAGGAATTGAAGTGTTAAATATAAGATAAATGGAAAAACTTGTTTAAAAAATGGATATGCAACTAATATATATGTGAATCAATCAAGTCTGGGTTAGTCACAATTAAAAGATATAGTGAAATCATAATGAGTCAAATTCAGATTATCCAGAATTCCATTTGAGATGATGTTATCAGCCATTCCAAATAAAAAAAATGTCCAGTGGAAACATGGCTCTGATAAGCCCCAGTTCCAGACTGGCAACTCCACTGTCCATGCTCCCTCCAGGACCATAATGGAACAAACTGGAGGTTTCTTTAAGATGAGGTTCTGACATCTGAACTGCTTCAGTGGGGACTTGTGTTATAACCTAGAAAAAGTGTGCCCCATCATTGTGGTATGCCATGCCCTTCATAAATGGTACCGGGAAAGAAGGGAATGTCTTGGATGCAGATGAAATGGGGAATTGAGAGCAGTCTTCTGAGGATGAGGACGTTGGCATGCAGGAACACACAACAGACTTTGATAGAGCTATGTACCATTAAGCTTGAGAGGCCAGACAGATCTTTATAGAGACCTGTTCCCATGACGAATGAGATAGGTATTGTGTTACTTCCTATACGTTAACAATCTGGGAACAAAGGAACTGAGGGCATTGTTGCTACATTTGCAGATGACACAAAGAAAGGTAGAGGGACAGGTAGTGCTGAGGAACCAGAGAGGCTGCAGAACGACTTGGACAGGTAAGAGAATGGACAAAGGAGTGGCAGACGGAATACAATGTGATAAAGTGTGTGGTTATGCACTTTGGTAGGAAGAATAGATGCATAGACTATTTTCTAAATGGGGAAAAGCTTCAGAAATCTGAAGCACAAAAGGATTTAGGAGTCCTAGTTCAGGATTCTGTTAAGGTTAACATACAGGTTCACTTGGCAGTTAATAAGGCAGTGTTACTATTCATTTCAAGTGGCCTAGAATAGAAGAGAGGAAATATACTGCTGAGACTGTACAGCGCAATGGTCAGACCATATGTGGAATATTGTGAGATGTTTTGGACCCTATTTCTAAGGAAGGATGTGCTGGCGTTAGAGGGGGTCCAAAGGAGGTTTACAATAATGATCTCAGGGATGAAGGGCTTGTCATTTGAGGAGTAGTTGAGGTCTGTGGATCTATGCTCAGTGGAGTTTAGAAGGATGAGGGGAGACCTGATTGAAACTTACAGAATACTGAGAGGCCTAGATAGAATGGATGTGGTCCTAGTGATGATCTTTTTGAACTGAGATGAGGAGGAATTTCTTCAGTCAGAAGGTGACCAATCTGTGGAACTCATTGCTGCAGTGGAGGCCAAGATATTGAGTGTATTTAAGACAGAGATAGATAGGTTCTTGATTGGTAAGGGGATCAATGGTTATAGGGAGAAAACAGAAGAATGGGGTTGAGAAACATATCAACCATGATTGAATGGCAAAGCAGACTCGATCGGCCGGATGGCCTAATTCTGCTCCTATATATTATGGTTTTGTGGTTATATGTCCAGTAACCTCCATCATCCACAATACATATTTCTGCAATCCTTGAACTTTTCTGTTGATTAAGAAATGTTTGTCATGCATGTGATTGTATGTATGGTATCTTCTGCTGATCTCACCAAAGAATCTGCACTTACAGGCCCTTGTTAGTATTTGGGAGACAGCAGCATTCAGCAAGACAGGGCAATGACATGACATGGCCCTGAGGTTAGGTCGCTTTTAAGGCTTTAGCCAGCACATTGAACCGAGTGCTGTATATTGCAGTCACTCATGATAGCCAGCAAGTTGAGAACAATAATTTGGCACCTTGTTTACATCCTTCCATCAGAATGCTTATCTAGAAAGAGAACCCAGTGGAGCTGATTGTCTCTGGGCTGATAGGGGTTGCAAATGAAAGTCTTGCAGCTTCTGAGGCTTGAGTGGCTCTCCCCTCAGAAGTGGAGGTGGAGCTCAGTGTATGCAGCACTGGCTTCTTTGTCATTTGAGGCCACTGGATCCTATGGGTACCTGAATAAAAGAAAAGAAAGAATAAATTGTGAAAGGGAGTAACAGTTTGTTCAGGGTAAGAATGAGTTATCACTTGCACCAACAGGAAAGCAGCACAGCACAACGAAGCTTGCTCAGTTGGTTGGCGGATGGTGGTCCAATACCCTTTCATGATCAGTGGCCCTCTTCCTCAGCCAACTGTAACATCCTATCTTCATACATGGAGAGAGGCCTAATGTCTGCCACACTGCAACCAGTTTTGGTCTTTTTGGCCCAATTGCATGACACTTTTCTCTCTAAAGATGTAAGGGAAGGGATCGAGTATGATGGAAATTGATAGGCGAGGCATTGATGATGATGCAGGAGCAGAAGAGGTTATGAGGTGTCCCCAGTGAGTGATTATGAAGGCAGGAAGGGAGTTTGGGAGGATGAGGTGAGTGCAGCCATTGGGTGGACATATTGTCCATAGTAGTGAGGGTTGCAGTCCGCAAGCCTCGCTCAGTGAGAGGTGTGTGCAGTGGCAGAATTAGAGTGAGTAGTAGTGGCTCTGAACGTGAAGCAGTAGAAGCATTGGTAGCACTTACCCTTGTAGAGCACAGATGTTATTTACCTCCTTACAGCAATGCTGGGCATTTCTTTTCACCCTGGAGCCAGCACTGATGCAGATGATTAACTCCGTCAGTCTGGCTGCATCTGATGGCATGGTCTCCTTTGCCAGAGTGGAGGAAGTGGCACTCCTCTTTTGTCAACTACTCTGTCCACCAGAACCTCCAGGTCCATGTGAAGAAACAGGATGCCAGCTTCCCTTACTGCACCATTTGCTTATTTCCAACGATGCACGATTACTGTGTAAGGGCAGTTCCTCGCTTGCAGATCTGAAGGACTGTCGAATTGGAGTTAATTATGGTGCTAGAATTGTGAACGTCCCAGCAATGGTGATCACTTCTGCTATTCCTGCCACACGATTGCATAAGCCAGTCACCGTGAAGGCCAGTTACATAATTAGAGAGGAACAGAAGTTTGCGTGGGCCATGGTGGATGACCCACCATAAATTTCACAGGGCAAGACACTTTGCCAGAATTCAGCCCAATGAAACAAAGCATGAATCCATGCTTGAGGCAAGAACATTGAGTTCAAATGAAAATTGTAAAAGAGGATCAAAATCCAGAATGAGAAAATTTAAATTCAGAAATAATATGGGAGCAAGCACAAAGTGCAGACTATGGAGAGTGAATTACAAATATGGATGTAAATTTGTGCCACTGGGAGGGATGGCTAGTAGATAAGAATAAATAGATGCAATGGCCAGACAACACAGCACATTGAAGTGATGGGATCATGTGGAATGGAATGAAAATAATGATGCCAATTTAATTGTTTCCAATGCAAGTACTGTACATTCATCCTTAAATTTGGAGACCAAAACTACACACAGCATTCCAATTGTGTTATTAAAGCACTATACAACTGTTGCAAGACCTTTTTATCCTTGTTCCCCAAGTTCCTTGTAATACAAATCAAATGCCATTTGCTTTCATACTTGCTTTCTATTTCTATAAGCTAACTTTATGTGTTCCATGTATAAATACAACGAAATCTCTCAGAACAGCAACATTTACAAGTTTCATGCCTTTTGAAAGATATTTTGCTCTACTTTTCTTTCAACTGTTATGAGCCCAGCTGATATTAATGCTAAACAAGTCAATCCTGAAACTGAAACTTGATTATATAGATGAGCTTGAAAGACCCTAACTTTGTTTTTTCAATTGACCATGGAAATCAGTTACTGAATACATTCAGAAAAATTTGTCAGTGTACTATTAGCATAAAGAATAAAATGTTTATTAAATATATTACACTACGCAAAAAAGTTGGAAGTATCTCATTACAAATACCAGAAAATGACTGAAACTCACACTATTGCTTTTATCCCAGTAATATCCTTACAAATACCAAACCCTGATGAAGATTTGTCGCTATTACCACACGAAGCCTTCTTGCTCCTGCCAACACACTGCAATTGGTTTCCTTC